TGGTATACAGCCATCATCTAAAGGCGATGAACTGAGTAATATTTGGATCGATAAAAAGGGCAGATACATGTGTTGTTACAATGTGTTTCTCACCCTCACCCAAACACTTTCTCTAAGTGTGCTGAAAGAGCTGTTGTACCTTCTATATCGCCGGGACGAACAGCTGTGTTTGCCTTATGCACAGTTCACGTCTGGCATTTTAATCCACAACCAAAACAACAGTATCAAAGTGGAGGACATGTCTAATTGTATCATAATTCAGCCTGAGCACACAGCTCGAGCAGAGTTTAGATTTCTTCCCCTACCCCCACACACACTTGCCTCTTTTTCTCACATACTACCCACATGCACATACTGTATGTCACATTATGTAACCAAGCGGCTGCAGAGAGAGTGGTCCTTGGAGGGGAATGTGTAAACAGCTGCAATGTCTTTGCAAAGCACACTTTATCATCATGGCATAACACAACACCTCAGGCGTCTCATGGAGCAGAAACAGTAAGAGTTTTAACAGGACTTGCATAAGTCACTCTTGGTTACTAAAGCTGCAATTCCTCTGCAGGAACTTTTCCCACAGACTTTGAGATATACTCAGTCAGGGATTTTCCATTGCATAGAACAGGTTCCAAAAAAAGTTCCAGGAACTTAACTTTAACCCCCCAAAAGGTCCTAGGTGGGTAGTACTGAAATTATAGGGACTTTAAAGTTAAGACCTGCAGTGCGAAGCTTTTCTGATTAGCTGTATACTTACAGCATTCGGGAGATTCTTGAAAAGGTCGACAAAATAATTTTTGTAATCTTCACAGGTATTTAAAACTTTGTGGAAACACAGATCACAAAGAGGTAGAGGAAAATTTTTAATCCCTTTAAAAGTAGCTCTAAGAACTAAAGTCCTGGATACTTTTGGTGGAAATGCAGCTTTATAATGTTCTGCTGGACTTCCCATTGATGCATGTTTTTCTCTATTTCATCTAATTGTCAGACTTTATAGTTAAATAGTCTATAGACTTGTAATCCATGGATTAGTGATTGAAAAAATGGCAGCCAATCAGTGATATTGTTAATTTTGTGTAGCCCTTCACTCACTGAGACAGGCAAGAGTATCAGCCATGCACTCTGGGAAATAACTGGCCTGTCACGCTTCAGTTGACTTCCATCTTTCATCCCTTCAATCCTCGACATGTTGTTTTCTGACTGTCACTGTAGATTGGCCTCACAGTACAGTAAGCCTCTGCTCATTACTAATTGGAAAGATGACAGAGACCTATCTTAAGCCTCGTGTCATGACATGTCCAAATGTGGCCACTTCAACACACAGAAACTCATTCAACTTAGCAACATGGTTCTTTGGCTGCACCTGACGTGAAATATTGAGTATTACAGACAAGCATTATCAGCTGACATGATGGTAAATGGACTTGACCTTATATAGCTCTTTTCTAGTCTTCCGACTACTCAAAGCGCTTTCACACCACATGTCACACCCACCCATTCACACACTGATGGTAGTGATGATCGCTATGTAGTATCATCCATCAGAAGTAACTAATCCCATTCATACACCACCACTGAAGCAGCGGGAGCAATTCAGGGTATAGTGTCTTGCCCAAGGACACATCGGACATGTTGCTCAGCTCGAAGGGGATCGAACCCTCAACCTTCCGGGTTGAGAGGCGACGACTCTACTAACCACAGCCGTCTGATGATGACAGTCATCTGTGTCTTTTGTTTGATCCATAATTCTTAATTCAAATTAAATCATAGAAAATATGTAGGTTTATAAACTATAGTTAAGATGGTTATTTTGAATATTGATATTATATATTTTTTTCAGATGAAGTCTAAGCAGTGTTTGGCAACTTCCCCCGGGGCCATTATCACACTGGACTCCAAAGCACTAAAACTGTACCCTAACAAAAAAATATCCAGTTCATTAACACCTCTCCTACTTTTCATTTGCAACCACATTATATAATTGCAATTTGCTGAAGTTTCTGATACAGAAGAGAGAGCTATTATAGGTGCATGTAATCTTTCTCAAACACACCAGTCACGTTCCCACTTCCCCTATCTAGACCAAATAGACCCCCCCCCCCCCCCCCAGCACAAGCTCAGGAGTGCTCTCTTAGGGTGGCCCCCTCACTCTGACATCTCTCCATTAGTGCATGTCCATAGAATCCTGTTTGTGTGTGTGTCTGTATTCCGCCTATGTGTGTGTAACATGTTCAATAACAGAGTGTAAAAATTGAATTTCCCCTTGTGGGATCAATAAAGTATATCTTCTTCTTTATTCTCCACTTCTCCACCAGATGCCTTTGGATTTTTCCTCCTTTCTCCCCTCTCTACACTTTCCATGTTATAATCAGCCAACTGGTACCCAAACCTTTTGTAAAGTCTTCATGAATGGAGACTTTTATCTAGGTTGATTTGATTAGTTTACAGGTTTCCTTGGGTCACAGCGATGTCAGGGATGGTTCACTAGGATGGACTTACCTTTTTTACCTCCTTCACAACACCTAGTGCTGTCCACCAACATCTAAGTTCCCTCTCTGATATACAAAAAGATTGTGTTTTATAATGTTACACTGCAGCTTTGGATAAGACTTGGCTTATTTAAATCTCTGAAGGCAACACACATAAATAGATAATTTTGTCATATCCGGTCTTTTGAGCCCCAAAGTCCCGTTTTTCCCCTTCTTTTGTCATAGCGTGCAGAGGCGTACCCATACACATGCTAACAGATGCAGAAACACACACACGTGCACACAAAAGAAGGCGGTTTGAGAAGGCAGAGGACACATTTGTCACTCTGGCAGGCAGGCAGGCCTCCCATTCTCTGGGTTGGTGGCCTGGTTTTTCTCTACAGGGGCTGGGCAACTCCCCGCCTGTGCTGCCTAGTAACTGTCAGATCGAGACTGTGATTTATGCAAATTGGCAGACTAGGGCTTGTGGGTCAGCCGTGATATGTGGTAAGACCATCATTGGGACAGGGTATAAAGGCAAGTCAACAGAAGCATGCAGTCAAGCTGCACATCTTACCAGGAACACATTACACTGCAACCACATGAGACTCGAAAGTGGAAATTAACTGTTAGTATGAAACTAAATGTTGGGAAATTTTACATGAACACCCTGAAATCACACTTGGATTAAGGAAGGTTGAACTATTAAATGATAATGTCGCATAAACTAACAGCTTTACTTAATCAATTGCTTTAAAATAAAGACATTTTGCACAGATTTTCAAATGTATTCATTTTAAAATAAATCTCACAATGAACCAAAAGAAAACTCACAAGATCTTATTTCCATTTTTACCATAAAACTAAAATTAAATATGAGGAAAAACTCAATATTCTTCCTCGTAAAAACAAAGAAAGAGTAAAAGAATAGCAGAGCTCTATTATTTCAAGTTGGTGTTTTTGTTGGCAACATCAGTAGTTGATAGAAAAACACACCACATTCTCCAAGCATCCATAATTTCTGAATAATTTGAGTATGAAAAGCTAAAAACAGTACTCAACAAAAGCAACATCTTTCATTTCCCTCGAGAACACAAAACAAGAGAAATATCTATCAATCATGGCTGCCAACTTCTGGACTCAAATCTGTCCCACATGGATCTCTCACAATCAAACACCTGCTCACTTTGTTCCCCGAATACATCCGATGATTACTTGTGGGCAATCTGGCACTGTCCAAGCGTGCAGCACTCCTGGAAGGAGCGCACTAATACGTAAGGTAACATAAAGACCGACTACATTCAGCTCATCCTGTCTTTGTGTTACACTGCAGGCAACTCACAGCTACTCATCTGAATCTCTTTCCTAAAGTCACACTGATCTCTTAATCTGTTGACAAGAAGTGCATCCTCCAGTCTAGACTATTAATGCAGAAAAATAAATGTTTTACAACATCATTATTCCCTGTGGGTACCAAAAGAACAGCTAAATGAATCATGAAATTCAACATTTATAGTTGACTTTGTTCCAGACATCACAAATCTTCTTTCTTTCTTTCCTCTTCACCTCACCCCTTCTTAGTCAGACCACAAACATTCTCGTTATGTCAAATTTCAACATTTATTTGTTCCCCAACCTGGTGCCAACCTATAATTTATGACACATCAACAACACACAGAAGAAAACACAAAGGCAGACTGCAGTATTAGAGCTGTTAAAAATCCATTTATTAAAGTAAAACATCAAGCTCTCATAGTAGTGGTTGTCAGGAAGGCAATTAGAAAGCTAGTCAAAGCAGATACAGGAAACTCTGGAGAATGGCAGAAAGAGTATCAAATCATGCCGGGTGTGGGAGAATAAATATCCAAAACAAACCAGGGAAAAACATTAGACATGTACAAACTGTACAAATACCAACTGGCACAAATACAGGTAAAGACACGGCTGAAAACACAGGTGAGCTGAGGTTAATCAGATGCTGATAAACAAATCAGGGACAGGTGATAACAATCATGGCAGAACATAAATCACAACGGTAGGAAAAAATGTCAAGATAAATATATACGAGCATTAATGTTGTTCATTCGTTCTGCAAAATGTCACATTTAAGGCACAGTGTGTGAAGTTTTCCCGTTGTTAAGCACAAGTCATCCCAATGTAACAAAAGGAAGGATACAGCCAGGATTATTAAGTTAGAAATCAGTTAATGTCTCTCAAATTTAGAATTCTGTTAAGATTTGAAAACCGTCTAGTCTCGTCTCGTCTAACCAGCCTAAGGCAAAAAAAAATGTCAAGAAAATATTTGTTGGTATTCCAAAGGATATGACCTATACCACCAATGCTTTGTGGTTTCCCTCAGGTGATCAAGGTGTTATGTTGTTGTTGTTGTTGTTGTTTGTTTTCCTTCTTTTTGGTAGTTGTTGAGGGTTTTTTGGGGGGGTGGGGGGGAGGGTGTATGACATTGCCATCCTCTGATACAAACAGTTGCTCTTTCTATTGTAACAGCTGGGCGCTTGTGGTGCCTGGCAAAGTTTAATTAGTGTGAATACATTAGGTCTGTGAGAGATCGTGCTACCTGGCAGGGGTTAGAGCTGGGCAGAGGACTGCAGAGGAGCAGGCTGCACCATGCGACACTACCGGACCCTGCAGTAATGACCCTGCCAGCCTGACACAACGCTCCCACCTGGGGGACCACTGCAGCTTTCCAATGACAGATGGAGGGCTGCTGAGACAGGGGAGCTGGGCTGGATCACTGCAGGCTAACAGAGCGACCATTAGACCAGACAGTGCGCCAGCAAGCCAACATGGCTTTGTGTTGGCTCCGCCTTTTGCCTGGTAAGTAACATAATGTTGTGAGCAGACAGACAGCCAAAACACTGAGTACATGTTTACTCCATCATCGTTTTGCACCTGTGGTTATGTTTTGACTCAGTTACACCCGTCGTGGATTTTTGCTCCGATTCTGCTGTTGTTTCTGTGTTTTAATCCAAATCATTAGTCCTCTCTAAAATGACAGGAAATCAAAAGAGCAGTCCACCCAAATGTTCTTAATTCCAATATTTGGCCCATAAGAGCTTTGAGATTTAGATATGTTCATGCGGTTCAATGAATTTCTGCATGAAACAGGGAAGTCAGCTCTACATGAAGTAGCAGTTTTTGATTTTAAGGTTCTATGATTGCTGGATTTCACATCATTGTCCTTTTTACAGTCAAAAATGCAATAAAAATAAAACAAATACAAGTTTATAAATAGGTATCAACTTTTTTAACCTTAACAGATAAAGGAAATGCAAAAATGCAATTAATTGATATTTCATTAAACTGCGTTTACTTCTTTCCTCTTTTAGACAAACTATCATCATATAAGTTTTGCAATAACCAGACCACAGCTAGTGAAGGACAGAATCAATGCAGTCATCATGCTTTTTCAGGTCTACAGATCCCATAATGCTTTGTGGGAATATGAACTATTGGAATTAATTTCCAAAACACACGTCTTATTTTTTATGTACTTTTTCTCTTAAATGCTGCCGTGCTATGTTCAGGAAGATGTTCTCAACGTTACATCACAAGACAGGTTTATTTCAACCCACAACAATTTGCTTAAACAGATTTATTTTAAGTATATGCAGAACAAACCTTAAGAAGTCCTTTTTTCCATAAACTCTCATAAGAGAATTTAAAAATCTTGTGGCAAGTGATAAGGAATGTCCTTTTTAAACAGTTCTATTGACATGTATTAGCTATGGGATTAAATGATATGCTATTTCAGGAAAGTGTCATTTATATATTATGAATGAGTGTTTAGATATGTCTCCAGGAAAGAGTGCAGTTTCTGTAGCAAGTTGCTAAAGTTTGCTGCTAACAATTTAAAGCATTAGCCTCAGTTGAGGCACGTTAATACAGAAAGTCAGGACGTGCCCCTGCTGTGCTTCCACAACTTCTGCGGTACACCTCAGGTCACAACTGTGACCTTTGAGAGTACATGTCAGACTGGACACAATAAGAACATCTGACTCTTTCTGATCGCAGTGTGCCTGTTAACCTGTGACTTTGACTTTGGATACAAGCGGGCAGGCCGGACTATATGATGGCTCTTTCTTTTATTCTGACGCATTGATCAGAGAACTCATTTAAAGCCATCAGATCTCCACCATGTGGGGACTGCCTCTGATGACCAACACTGCTCCTGTGTTCCAGTCAGCAGAAAAAGCAGCCCCTTTGGTCTGGTTTGTGTTAGTGATATAATCGTTAATAAATGAAAGCTCTTCTATCACACACCCCAAGGCAAAGACTAGCGGCTGGCTGGGACTTCACTTGGCGGCAGGAGAGCGAGGGGGAATGAATGTGACAGTTCTCATGAAAAGACAGAGCGGTATGGAGGGATTGGAGAGAGAGATTAAAGACAGAGAGGAGTAGAAGAAAGAGGAAGAGACACCCCCTTTAATGTTCACCGTCTATGTGCTGTCCTGAAATGCTTGAATGTAATGGGGGACAAGCATGCACCACCTCCTGAAGGTTGTACAAGCAATTATGCCACTTAGGAGTCTTTGACAGTCAAGGTCGTATCGGCAAACAGACACGAGGAGCATTATAATATAATGTTCTGCATTCTGTGAGTCAAAGACCCTTTTAGCTGAGACAATATCAATCTTCTGAGTGTCACTCAACATCATGTGTCCATTATGACCTTAAATCCTGTAACCCTACTCGTGCTGAAATAGGTTTATCACAAAAATAAGAACATATTTGGTTTAACTTTCTCTTTAAAGAGCAGTGTCGCCTTTCTCATATTTAACCCATTCCTGGGTGCTTCACATTCCCCTAAGGACAATGACAAGGAAAAAGGCATAGTGTCAAAAAGCACACTGGGAGAGATTTCACTCGAACCCTCTAACCCAGCAGAAGGGAGCTCCTGTGAAGGCATAACAAAAGCAGATGTGTAGGGAGAACTCTGCCAGGAAGAGTTGATGTAACAGTTTGCCGGGTGTTTCTGGTGTTCGTTTCATTCACTCCATGCAAGCTGTAATCGGCTGTCAGGGGAAACGTTAGCGTGTGTGTGCATGTGTGTGTGCATGTGTGTGATGCATGTGCAGAAAATGTGTGGTGGCAGTGTGCACCTGAGCTCTCAGGTACCAGGAAAACATTGTGAACCAAGGACACTGGAGATTATTATTGGACGCAAACAGTTTTATCTGTTTGCATGTTGGCATTTTGAAAACAAATTCTCAATTATTGCTGAGAATAACAATAATTGTTTTCTCAAATATATTATGAACTCCTTCAAAATGCTCAGATATGAGAGCGGTGTTAGATTTTTAAGTTCAAAATGCAAAAATGTTGCATGTACAACAGTAATCTAGCATGTCCACCATATCTATTTTCAATGCACATAAATACTTTGCACATCTAAGTCATAGGACAGATGGGCAGGACAGGAAGGAGTTCTTTAAAAAAAAATCAAGCAAACCACAGTGCACACTGTCTAACTTGCAAATATACTAATATTAGCAATATTTTTGGTACAATATTTTCATCAGGCTCATAGTGGGAGAGAAAGGCAGGTCTTCTTGAATAGGAAATTGCTGCAAGCCTGCAACCAATCAAAATCATCATATAAGAGCTGAATGAAAATAATAATACATGTCTGTGTTTAGGCTTGCAAACCCTTTGTTCAATAAAAAGTGACTGCAAACTTGCAACCGATAAACATCCTCAAATCAGATCTGCATAACAAACTAATAAAATATTGTATTCATTGACTGATTGTGTAGAAAAGTGTTTGTCTGATGAAGGTTGGAAAGTGTGTAGAAGTTGTGCTTGCGATTTTTCATAGCCTCATATTTAATCCTGGTTACACAATTCAATATGGTTCATGTTGCAGGTTTTCTTGGATATACCTCTAATACCTCAAAACATGTCATTATAAATAAGGAAAGAAACAGCTTTACATTATAAAAGTGAGAAGACAAAGTCTCAAATCCCAGTGAAAGCCCTCGCTAACACCAACAGAGTTTCTTTCTGTAATTTGGCTTGTTCATCTACTAAACTAAACAATATGACATATTCGCAGACTTTATTGTCTTTATACTATTACTTTTGATACACTGTGATTACACACAACCGGCTCCTCCTCCAGAGCCAGAGTCTGCTTTTAAAATTTTCAGAGCGGTGACAAACTCTCCTGCCTGCCTGGCGCCAGAGTACAGAGTGTGTTCAGACACTTCGCACCAAGGGAAAGATATATTAAAGTTAATGGTGTTAAAACTGGAACCTCTCCACTTTCCATATGGCCCATTGACTGCAAGTAAACACTGACACACAAGAGTGGCCGATCACGCCAACAGAGGGCGCTGTGTGATCTGTTTGGAGTATAACTGACATCTGGAGGTTGAAGATACAGAAAGAGGGATAATTACATTTAATTAAGCTGGGTGTCATCTACTCCTTATACCTCCTACACACTTCAGCAATGACAAAACCACGCAATGCATCTGGTTAGGAAGAGTAATAGAAAATGCAGCGTTAAAGCAGCTCAGGTTTATTTCTCTTTAAGGTTTTCTGATCATCTGGGATGCATATGTATCCTGCAGTATGTTTTTTTTTTCCCTCTGATTTAATTTTTTTTTCATGCCGTATTCTGGTTTGAATTAAGGAGGGGCTGGAAAGCATTAATGTGTTATCACTGCCTCATGTATCCTCTCAGTGATTTACCTCCGTGCAGTCATTCCTCTCAATCTTCAGCTACTGGTCTCTAACAACCCTCCTGATTCTCTCCATCCATCTCCGACCTCTTTCCCTGCATCCCTCCACCTCCTCCCTTCTAATACACCTCCCATCATCCTCCCCCCTGCCTCCTCCCTCCTTTCCTCTGCCTGTCCCTGCACCTTTTCTCTGCTGGTAGACACAGAGTCAGCATGGGAGGAGATTAGCTCTGTGTGTCGTACTCATGGGAAAAACCTCTGAATATGCAGCAAAAGACCTTTTACCACACCAGTCTTCTTTCTTTCTTTCTTTAGTACATTTCTGAATCCCCTTTTGTCACCTTTCTCTTGTCTTCTTCGAGCAAACTGCACGGCGGCTCTGTACATAACCTTAATACAGATACTAATTTCATGTTGTAAAAAAACTTCTGTCTTAATAAGTTTAAGAGAGTAAAAGACTGCTTTTAAAGTAAGACCTGTTTGAATAGGTTTTAAAGATTTATTTTTGGGCTCTGTATGCCTTTATTAGACACACAGGACTGTGGATAGAGTCGGAAATCATGGAGAGAGTGAGAGAGAGAGAGAGAGAGAGAGAGAGAGAGAGAGAGAGAGAGAGAGTGAGAGTGGGAATTACATGAAGGAAATGAACCACAGGTCAGACTTGAACCCAGGCCGTCGCTTCGAGTATTACAGTCTCTGTACATGGGGCGCATGAACTAACCACTAAAATATTGGCATTCTTAGCAGTTGTACATTTTTCTAATTTGTTAAAGTACAAAGATACATATTATACCAAAGCACTGTGGATTCGTAATGGATTGAATAACAAGGGGAGAAATCATCCCAACCCTAATAGTTCAAACATCTACATAAAATCTTTCACAGTATGAAAACATAGCCTACATGTACAAATCTTGTCTGCCTTATTCACCTTTTTAAAATGTAAATCTAGGAGTTATTCTGACCACAGTTGAGACCATTTAAAACTTTTTGGGGAGGTCGGGGGTATTGAGGCAACCTCATACTTTTTGGGAAACAAACATATTACTCGACTTGAATCAATTGGGTTCATGGTCTGTAACTTAACCCTTTAACCTTGTGGGTACTGTATAACACCAAAGCTGTCAGTTGTCTCCCTGTTCATCTTCTAGTCACATCCCTACTTCCCAGAGTCCCCTGAGAATCCTCACCTCTCCACTGGATACCTGAACTTCACCTTCTATCACATCTACAAATCTGTTTTATATTATAATCATCGAATCAGGGTTCTGACTCCTTACTTTGTTTAGTTGTATTTTCATCCATGTTACTTTGTTTTGATCTCTTGGTTTGCCTGTTGCCTTTAGGAATGTATACCTACCTGAATCCTGGACCTTCCTATTTGTCTGTATCCTGTCACTAGTCCCCCTGCTACCTACCATCACTTGCCTGTAAGCTTCCAAACTTACAATACATTTTTACCACTCTTCATATTACTATCTGAACAAATGTTTGCATTGCATTGTTAATACACTCTAAAGTCATTGGTTAACCTTCATACAGGGGCGTGGTCAAAGGCTGACCTGGGGTTGCATGCCACCCCCCCCCCCCCCCCTCAACGGGTGGCCACCCCATAACTGTTAACCATAACTTCATATTTGCCCTGTCAGAAACCCAACCTTTTTAAAATGCATGTATTTATTGTCCTTTTGTGCCTTTTATTAGAGAGACAGAACAGTGGATAGAGTCGGAAATCAGGGCGAGAGAGTGGGGAATGACGTGCGGGTAAGGAGTCAGGGGTCGGATCCGAACCCGGGCACCCAGGATCCGAACACAACTCTTTATGCAGCACATCAGTTTCATGCTTTGTATTGAAATTATGTTAAATTGCATTGTCCCTATTAAATAAATAAATTCAACCTTTTTTTAACCATCTCGTTAGGCTCTGTTGCCACAGGTTGCCTGTGGATTTTGTGGCATTTCCATGTTGCCCTTTTTTTTGTTAGTAGATTTTACTGTGACTTTTGGAGACTCATCTTTAACATCCTTATAGTAGAAGGCACGGATAGTTTTAATGTTCATACTCTTAAAATCATTGACCTATTTATGTTAAATCTGTATGATATCTCAATTTTAGCAGTTCAAGTACATACGACTGATGAAACAGAAAGGTTCAATCAATACCTTTTGGACATTTGTGTCAAACACATACTTCACATCTATCTCAGTGCCCTGCTTTATAAATGCCAACCCAGTCAAAACAGTCCTGACCCTAACCTAACCTTACCCTGGCTTGTGCAGACCTATTCTTAACTCCTAACAGTGATTGAGAGAAAACTAATTTTTAAAAACAACTGATAAATAGGCCTACATCAAATGCACATTTAACCCACAGCACAGATGAAGTTAATCATTTTTATTGGCAGACAGTATCTTCAGCTTAAGTTTTTATTGGTGTCAAAAAGGCCTAAAGGACCGCTGGCTATTGCACCAACCCTCATGGAATCATCAACGAGTAGTAGCTTCAGTATCATATTGTTATTCCCGGTCATATTGAAATTAATTGCCTGTTCTTTGTGAGTCCTCTAGTCTCATATTGTGTACACACACTGCCTGTGTGCTCATCCTGTTGTCCCTCTGCCCTCGAGACGTCCTTGGCTGAAAGTGTCTGCTCCGTGTGGATGTAATCCTGGTGATACATGGTAAACTCCTGACCCGTCTGCGCTGTGGCCTCTCTGTTAGATGCTATTACGCGGGCCTCTAATTGCTGCTGACATTCATTTACCCACTAAGGCTATCACCTTCCCCATTACAGGGGCCAACTTCTGTCTCTGGGATTGAGCCTGCACCGCAGAGAGGTGTGCGTTTGTGAATGTGTGTCCATAATATACAGTTCAGGGTAAGGTAAATGATGCTAACTATCCTGCAGCAACACTTTACTGTTCATAATCAAAGACGGTTTTCAATCCCCGTCCCCTGACTGCACTCCAGCTTGGTCACCAGTGTGTTGTAAAGCAGCCACCGTCTTATCAGCAGTCCCTCAGAATTACACTATTCACCGTATGAGCCGCTGTGCCACAGCTTGATTACACAGGGAGTTATCGTCCCAGAACATGCCACAGACCCACCTGCATTGTAGCACTGTGATTTAAGCTCCTGTGAAATATTGTTATGTGTATTCAGAGACTGAAGAGCTACTAGGTTGTTAAATCTTCATTATTTCCGATGCCTTCCAAAACACATTTTTGCCAAATTGAGTCTTTTTTTTTTCTTGAGCCAATCAAGTCCTAATGGGATGCAGAAATGTTACGGCTCGGATATCTCCAACCTCGCGTGTTTTCAAGCTGTTTGGGGGGACATTTTCTTAATTTCTATGGGATATTAGAGCATTAAAGCTGCTATCTGTGCAGGGCTGGCCTGTGCCTGAGTGTGATTAAAGAGGAGGGTGATCTCGCAGCTTATCTGATCAGGAGGCATGCAGGAACACAAGAACAAAAGAGAATAATTATGCTTGTGAGCGTGTTGATCTTATCCCAGGCTTATTTCAATGGAAGTTCAAATATTTTCCTTGAGCAAATGTTCCTTTTTTTTTAATTGTAACATTTTGATTGTTACATTATATGGGTTGTAATCAGTGGCTATATTTATGGTTATCAAACTTGTTTACGCATTCTTTAGGTCAGCTTCAAGTCCAAAGATTTAAATCTCTCTTGATTTTGTCATCCAGCATGATGCTTCCCTTTGTGTTTTAGTTCATGGTGAACCCCTCCAATTGAACATTTGATCTCTGACCTCCTGGAAAAGGACTGCAATCCAGTTTTAGCAGATATAATCAATATCTGTGTATATAACACCCTTGATAAACATCATTAATAATAAAAATGTATCTATATTCTGCCTTCAAACTCCCATGGGTATAAAACTATCTATTTGTTAAACCCTTTAGGGACCTTTTAAGAAAGTGGTATCCCTCTGACGTACAGGCTGCAGTCTAAAGAAAGCCGCCATCACAGCACCACTTTGTATGTCAGTATTTGATGCAATACTCCACACATGAGAGCCTATATGTATGTGCACTTCTCTGAGAGGGCCATTTGGAGAGCAGCAGGTCAATACACATTCATAGAGAGTGCATTTCCCTGAATGCTTCAACAGTCTGTAAAGCCTCAGTGCCACTTTCCACCATATTCTGCTTACCGCATTAATCCATCGTACAAAAGCGCCATTCTGCGCTTGGAGAGAGGACACTCACACACACGTACACTTACACACTCCGAGGCACAGCGGAGGCCTGCATAGGCACACATTTTCACAGCTTCAATGGCAGAAAATCCATACCCTTTTCTGGGAGGAGGAATTCCATTAGATAATAGATATGGAATCCATCTCGATTCCCCACCTTATCTTCTCCCGGGGTGAGGGATCAATACTGGGGCTTCAGCTCAACTGCCAACAATAACAGGAAATTGATGGGACAGCGTAAGCAGCACTGAGGGCCTGTAATGGCACTTTCTTGGCCACCCCTGTAATGCAAATCACAGAGGGAGTTAATTGGTGAAAGGCTGTTTTAGTAATGAAGAGGAATAGGAGCTGATGTTTGAGTTCATGAAGCAAGCCTCAATGATTATTTAGAGAATGAATGTGGAAAATTTGTTAAATTTCAATTCAGACACTCCTAAACAAACGGAGAATTGCAGACTGACAGAGAAACAGCGCACACTCAGATATCCAGTTATCTGAACAAAACGGGTGTGCACACAGTAATGGCTTCTAATTTTCCACAGAGCTGTGGAGGTTTCCTGTCCGAGTTGCCAGGTGCCGTGTTTACAGAGGCCGTTGCCTGGTAACACATTCCAAACAGTGCTAGGATATGAGGACGAGGGAGCAGTAGTGAGGTGAGTGAGGGGTCAGGTGATACACAGGCCGTATAGATCCTGTCGTACTGATACTGCACACCGAGGGACCTGGGTGGCTCCTTTTTTTTTCTTTTTTTCTTTTTTCTTTTCTTACACAAGGATGAGTCATGTTGTGTTTGTGTTACAGTGGGTCCCGTATGTGGCAACATGTGGGTGGGTGGTGGTTGGGAGGTTTACAGCTCGCCGGTCATTGTGGTCCAGAGTCCGTTCTGGCTGAGATGTTTGCACAGCTAAAACACCATTCATTGCGTCATATCACAGAGGGGTGTCAGCAGCAGAACTGGAGCTTGGAGAGCATGAGTGGCCGCTGGAAAACTGCATGTATTTCTCCCAGTCCCCAAACATGGAGAGCACAGCAGCCTTGTGTCGGCACAACTGCACTGGCCACCAGAAACATTTAGAAGAGATTTTCAGATTAAACTGATTACTGTTAAGGCACAGAAAGGTCTAGCTGTTAGCTACATTTCAGACCTATTCAAGTGATTATGAAGCAAGTTACAGAGGCAGATCCTCAAGCAAGGCCTTTTCATTTTCCCACAGTCAAGGCTTGAGAATAAAAAGGACTGTGTCTGTTCTATTAGAGCTGTGCTGTGGTACAGTGTGGTGGAGTATTACATCTTTTAAATCACAAATTGGAGTATTACATCTTTTAAATCACAAATTGTATAAGCAGGATTTTATTTAAATCAACCTTAGTTGACCTAGTGTCCTTTTAAAACAAGGTAGTCAGCACCTGTTTTTTAAGGTCTGATCTATATCTATGACTGTTGATGTTTTTAGTTGTTATTTTTATTATGTAGAAAAATAGTGGAAGCACTGCTGGGTCTTTGTAGTAATCACGTAGGCCTACGGGTACTCTTTGGATTTGTTTCTTTTGGGAAGGACAGTTGCAGTTTGAATTTTTGAATCAGTTCACTTATTACCCCTTCACAAGTCAAATTAGTTTTTGTTTTGTTACTTTTATTGATGATTCATTGTTGTAGCAGCAATCTGGAGAAAAAAAAGATACACAAATAAAGTTGGTGTGATCATTATTTTGCTCCTGTGATTCCATCCACTGAGCATCGCCACTGGGCCAAATGGGATTCTGGTGCCATTGTACTCACGCTATATCCTTTGTCGCTGGGATTGAACCTGGCATCTCTTTCATCACAAGCTTCAGCATCTACGCCCTTAAAGTAACTGTGAGTGAGACAGTGTTGAGCAGCATCTGGATGAGATTGTCGTGGACGTGCTCGGTCTCATTCCATGACTAGTCCTGTCCTAGAGACATCTGCACGTTTCAACTATAGCCCCATACCCTCCTACCCCCTACCCCCAAACCACTGACCAAAACAAACCAGCAGGTGGTGCTGTCATCTGTGCTATCACCAAGTTTTCAATGGTTTAAATATTTTGGCATTGCCTATATGAAAGCCATCTATCCACATGAGAGAACTGTGTTTCCCAACGTGTAGTTTTCAAAGTAAATGCTCCAATGTTGTAGCTCTCAGTGATTCTGTGCCGCTCTGCAATCAGTGAAGATGAAGAGAGGAGGCCTTTTTAGATCATTTAGATACTCGTGATTACAAGTTGTGAGCAACACGCTTCCCTCGCTGATCTCTCTTGATATAACCAGTCTTATCTGCAGAAAAGGAGTCACATCTTCACGGACAAATCCCTGTAATGTCATCCACAGCGCCCAGGGGAGACCACCCTCATTGGGAGCAGGGCGGTGGGAGCTCATTTTAACCCACACAAAAGATTCATCTCTAACACCGCCTTGTTAGACCACACCATTACAGCGTCTAAAAGTCTCTGCATTAAATGAAGAAATGTGCTGTCTGAGCATCACCACTCTGGGGAATTAAGGTCATGTTTTCATGCCTCTCGAATACTAATAACTGAAGATTGAAGCTCCCCTCTTCATGGACACATAACGGTCTAATC